GATATCAGTTCAGTTCAGTTGCTCAATCATATCTGACTCTTTGTGACCCCATGGACTGCAGCACGCCAGCCCTCTCTGTCCATCACCAACCCCTGGAGTTTACTCAAACTCATGTCCATCGAGTCAGTGATGCAATCCAACCATCTCATCCTCTGTTGTCTCCTTCTTCCCCTGCCTTCAATCTTTCCCAGCATCAGGGTCTTTTCAAATGAGTTAGCTTTTCACATCAGGTGCCCAAAGTACTGGAGTTTCAGCTTCAGCATCAGTCCTTCCAATGAATATTCAGGACTGATTTCCTTTAGGATGGACTGGTTGCATCTCCTTGCAGTCCAAGGGACTCTCAAGAGTCTTCTCCAACCCCGCAGTTCAAAAGCATTAATTCTTCGGTTTTCAGCTTTCTTTATAGTTTCCCACACATGTTATTCTCTCAAACTTTAAAGTAATTAGCCTCCAACTAATAAAAATAAATGGAAAAAAAATATTACACAAATGGTTTATTTCATCTTATTTTTAATATGATACATACTCAATATAAAACACATACATGTGCATGTACACATATGAATTATCATCACCATCATTAAAAATTATATATTAGAAATAAAGATCATTCAACATATTATGATCCAGTGATAGTACCCATCTCTGTTCCACAAGAGAATTCTTTATTTGCAGATAACCATGCTGTGCTTAGTCGCTCAGTCGTGTCCGACTCTTTGCGACCCGATGGACTGTAGTCCACCAGACTCCTCTGTCCATGGAGATTCTCCAGGCAAGAATACTGGAGTGGGTTGCCATTCCCTCCTCCAGGGGATCTTCCCAACCCAGGGATCGAACCCAGGTCTCCCACATTGCAGGCGGATTCTTTACCGACTGAACCACCAGTATCAAAACAGAGTGGACAGTCTCAAAAGCAGACAGTGTGACAGAGTAGGAAGTGGGATGAGGAAGGAGACCCTTGAACCAAATGGGAAAACACAATATTTTGGAGCAATTTCGCATTAGTGCCAAGTAGCCTTACTCTTATCCACATCCCATAAACATATATTCTAATTTCATTATATTATGATTTTTGTTTCAAAATGATATCAAAAATAGCTAACATATTCTTAGTAATGAAGGAATTGTGTTATAAATTTTATAGTGTGCCAGAAACTATTAAATTGAAAAGCAAATGTTAGTGTTATGGTTTGGATTAAGCTATCTAGAATATTCAATAAATCAGAATCGCTTATTGCCTGGTGATAGTATGTAAAAGAACTTTTATTATAGCTTAGTGGTAAATTTATTTGGGTTGTTAAGGCCCCTCTGAAGCGTAACTGGGACTGGATGGATGACAAACTTGGAAAGATTATGAAGTTAAAAAGAAGAGGAGATAAAGCAGAAGAAATAAATCCTTAATCCTTTGTTCAGGAAATGTTTAGTCTTATTGTGTCCAATAAATCAGGGAAACACAATCAAAATGTCAAGATTCAATAAGCATCATCCTCTCTGTAATTCATTCTTATTTTTTTCCCATTTTCTTTCTTAACAACAGTTTTCTTTTTTGTATTTCTAATTTTAACCAGACCAAGCCTCTTTGCAACTCTATGAATTTGAAGTCTCATTTATATTAGGGGATGACTGTAGGCCAAAAAAGAAGGGATAGAATGAAGATGGGAAATAAGAAAAGAGGATAAAAAACAAGAAAGGAAGGAAAGAAAAAAAAGAAGAGAAGGAACAAAGGGTCAACTGAAGACAGCAGAAGTGCAGAAAAATAAATGGGCATCACCAGTTCCCAAAGTTTGATTTACCCTTAAAAGCAATTTTTTTTGAACCCAGTGAGAGCACATGTTGTTCTCTTATAGATTCACAATGCACATTGGCACATTAAGGACTTGGAGAAGGAATCAGTTTAATTTTGTTTAACTTGGCATTTCCCAAATACATGTTCTTGGTATGCACATGATTCCTTGTGAAACAACGATTAATATGATAGTAAGTTAAATCCCATGGAGCACACTTTAGGAAAAATTGAAGCTTACAATTTCAGTTGCATATATTATTGAATTTCATTATCTTCCTCTTAAGCACAACTTCTCTTTTTTTTACTAGCCTTATTGAGACATTGTTGACATGAAATATTTCTTAAGTTAAAGGTGTACATTGTGTTGATTTGATACACTTATATGTTGTCAGTCACCACCATAGTGTTAGCTGACACCTCCATCATATCACATAATTACTGTTTCTTTTTTGTGGTTACAACCTTTAAGATCTGCTCTTTTATAACATAGTTATAAAATTAATTAACTGTAATTACCATGCTGAATGTTAGCTCCTCAGAACTTATTCATCTTGTAATAGAAAGTTTGTATTTTTTGACAAATTTTCTTAACTTTGGCTGGTTTATCATTGCTATATTGATTGCATGTCATTATATAATGCTTGATATCCTCTATTCCAGGTAATGATATACATTAGGTATATATATCACAAACTTTCTGAGCCATAGTTCTTTGGTCTCTGAAGTCACATTTTGAATAAATGGGAGACATGAAATGGGCTGAGAGGTCTTCAGGCTTCTATTTTAGAAAGATAGAAGAATCATGGCTTCTAAAAGAGTTCCATGCCCTAATTCTTGGAATCTGTTAATATTAATTTATATGGCAAAAGGGACTTTAAAGATATGATTAAGTGAAGGATCTAAAGAGGGAAAAATTATTTTGGATTATCCAAGTGGCCGTAAACTGATCACTTGAGTTCTTCAAAGTAGAGAAATTTCCCTGGTGCAAGATGACCGAGAGATGGTAGCATCAGAAAGGCCACTGTTAACTAAGAAGATGGGTGAAGGGACCATGAGCCTTGGAGAGTGGCAGCCTCTAGGAGCGAAGAAAGGCCTCTGGAAACGATTATAGCTCTGTTGATATTTCAGTTTTATCCCAGTAAAACCTGTGTTGGACTTCTGACTTATAGAATTGTAAGATAATATATTTGTAAAGTGTAAGTCCCCTGCAAAGGCATATGTGAGGTGGAAGCAACAGGAGGAAGTCTTTTACAACTTTATCCCAATCAGAAGCAGAACACATGTAGAATAATATATGTTGGGTTAACATTAAGTCATAGTAATTAAAAAATATTTGGGTGAATGATAAGACCTGGTTCAGATGGTAAAGAATCTGGATGCAATGCAGGAGTCTAGCATCTGATCCTGGGGGCAGGAAGATCCCCTGGAGAAGGGAATAGCTCCCCACTCCAGTGTTCTTGCCTGGAGAATCCCATGGGCAGAGGAGACTGGTGGGCCACAGTCCATGGTGTTGCAAAGAATCAGACATGGCTGAGCAACTTTCACTCACTCATTCACAAGACCTAAAACACAGTTGACTTTTATCACACATGAATTTAAAACAATTTGTATATAACAGAATGAAGAACCCCCCACATTTAAACTTAGGGAAGTCCAGTGACATCTAAAAGATGCTTTGGCTATGTGTGTACTGAGAAGGGGGGCTTCTCTGGTGGGTCAGACAGTAAAGAATCTGCCTGCAATGCAGAAGACACAGGTTCCATTCCTAGGTCAGAAGATCTGGAGAAGGAAATGGCAACCCACTCCAGTATTCTTGCATGGAGAAATCCATGGACAGAGGAGCCAGGAAGGCTATAGTCCATGGGGTCTCAAAGATCATTGAGAAGGATAGAGGGATGACCAAGTGTGGGACAGGTATCATTGTCAATGTCCTCCCTGCAGTTGTGGGAAGAACATGTCTGAAAGTAATAATACTAAACTAAATTTAGAATAATCTGGAGTCTTCCAATGGGATGCATTTTTGTTCAAATAAACCAGATTTGGATGCTATTAGTTATGATGCCAGTTGAGTCTTTGGTTTGCCTCAATCTTCATGGATGTTACTCATTGCTTTTCACTTCTGTCACTTCGTGCCCATGTGTGTGACGTCTGAGTAACATCAGATGGTAGGATCTGTGGAGTAACCAGACAGCCACACCAGAAGCAGCAGATTGTCCTCCTGCTCCTTCTCCTGGGCTTAGCTTTAATTTTTTAGGAGTTTGCTCTTACCAAAGACCCAGATCTCTAATAACTGGTATGAAGAATGACACTTGGATTAGTAAAACATATAAGAGCTTAGACATTGAGAAAGGAAAGGCCTAAACTCTCCGTTGTTGAATTTGTTATAAAACAAATTCCTAGGAATTTAATGAACACAATTTCTGTGGGCCTCACATTTGGAAACAATGAGGTGGAAAATATGAAATAACGTGTAACAGTATTGCAGCACGGAGGATCAGATCTAGAAGAGTTTATTTTGGGCAGGGAATGTTTTCCCATCTGAGGTTCCTATTTAGACTTATGACCACTAGCTGGCATGCGAATTCTAGTTACACTTGGAAGCTGTTTATTTTTGCCACTTTTGTCTGGGACTTTCCTCAATTTTTTAAGATTGTCAATAAAAAGGTGGACCAGTAGCTGGGCACGATTTTAGTTCCATGATCAATTAAGGCTTCACAGAAATATAAAAAATTGAGTGTAAATTAAAGGAGACAGTCTGAGACCTGCCATTCTTGATTTTTCCAGGTTTTCAGATTCTCATTTAGAATTCACAGGAGTACTTTTCTTTGACAGGCATACCCATAAGCAAACATTTTTAAAAGGGATAATCAGAACCCCCTGAATTGTCTGTGGTTCAGGAATCTTCACTGGCCTGTCAAATTGGCAGAAGTCTCCTCTAAGGACCTCAGAATTTATCCCAGCTGGCACTGCTGATTTGACCAGATTATGTTTCAGGCAGTCATTGGCTGGGCCTCGTAAAGGCCTGTTTTCATAGTTAACTGTCAGCACTGGGCTCTTCCCAATTAAAATCAGACTAATGCCACTTCCAGCAGCTTGGCAACCTACCCCTTGAGTTTCCCATCTGTCGCTTCTGCTGTTTTTAACAGATAAACCCCCACATCTCAGGCTTCACCCAATAAGAAGTGTTGTTTCTTGCCCATGTCATCCTAAACAGGTGTTCTAATTGGCAGGCAGCATCTCCTCAGCAGTGGTGCTTCATGAATCGGCAACACGTGGTTTCCAAGTTGGCTGTCCTTGCTGGAAGGGGTAAGAGAATGAAGGATTCATGGCGGAGGTTTTTTATAGGTCAAAGTTTTTATGGAAACTGGTGTGTCTCCCCTCTACTCATATGCCACTGACCCCAACTCTGTCGCACTTAGATGGCCAGATCTAACTGCAACAGAGGCTGAGAAATACAGCCTAGTTTTGAGCCCAAGAAGAGGAGAAATCGGGTTTGATGAATAGCTGTCTTTAACACACCTATGCTTGTCCAATTATTTTAATAGTATTTAACATTTTTAAATGGCTTTTTACCTACTTGTGATTTCTCACATGTGAATTTTAAAAATTATTCCAGTTTGTCTTGGAAATATCTATTATTTTATCATTTTGCTGTACTTTTCCCAATATATACATATAGTCTATATACATATAAAATATGTGTGTGTATGTGTATAATTCAAGGTTACATAGTTACATAGGCCAGATCCACAACTTGAGACCAGGATGTATAATTCTGAGTGCACTGAATGGTTTCATTTTATTATATTTCAATCTCAAATATATAGAGAAGATGATAAAAAGGTCCATGAATCAATACTTTTGATTGATATAATCTCTAATTTAAATTCCACACTGAGTAGTAAATATCTAGAAAACTATCTTAACTTTTAGAGCCTCAAGGGCATCTAATATTGGGATCTTTTTGTAATTTCCTTTGCTACGCCTTCCATTTTTTCTTTTAGTATTAATAATTTCTTAATCAGATTGACTCAGATTTATCATAATCACTCTGGAAACTGAGGAGTTAGAAAGAGGCATAGATAGATGAATAGATGTGGTAGAAGGCTGGGCTTTCTAAAAATCACAAACTTACAAAGGCCAAACTCACATCATTTTCCTCCTTTCCCTCACATCCAATAAAGGATAGCCAATGGGAGAACAATGGAAAAAAACAACAGCACCTTTCGGTACGTAAAGTGGTCTGGAGCTTGAATCAGAAGTCTGACTACAGGGACTTCCCTGGTAATCCAGTGGTTAAGACATTGCACTTCCAACGCAGGGGGCACCAGTTTGATCCCGGTCAGGGAACTAAGATCCCTTATGCTGCCTGGGGTGGGCAAAACTAAATGAATAAGAAAAAGAAAAGGAAATCGACTACAAATGTAGCAAGAGAGGCAGGCTGATCTAGGGGGTGTGGCAAGCTTTGAACCATGATGATGACACCAGTATCTCTGTGTTATTATCCAGGGCAGACAGCTGCTTCTCATGATCGCTGCCAACGAGGGGTCCAGGAGAGTAGAAGACTCAAGTGTGTTGTTTATAAAGAAACAAACTAAAGTTCAGACAAACTCAGAGAGGAATCAGCTAGTTAGTGAAAAATGCTAAAAAGCCAGAAACACCTGGTATAGGAGAAACTACCCTAAGAGGGGCCGTCAACATTACAGACAGCAAACGAACAGATACGTCTTCCCAGGGTAGGATGAAGGGAGGCGTTTTACTGTGGCCTGATAAGGTGAGTAATATGGAAGGATTGTTTCCAGGCAGCTGCTGCCCATTAGAGGAAGGTGGTGAGAGACTCCACTGAGAGCCTTTCAGACAAAGTTATGTGAAAGTATGCACACACCAGAAACTCTATTGAAGATGTTAGATTGATCATGCTCCAAGTTCTGTTGTGGCTAGAATGTTTTCTGGGCAAAGGGAAGAAGGCCAGGCTTGGATTGTCCATATGTCTTAAACACTTAATGAAAAATAATATTACATTAATTCCTTTATATCCTCTGTGATTTGTCCAAGAGACTAAATATGATTCAGATTGTCTTCATGGGACTCTACTGATTGAAATAGACATTTCTTGGCCTTCTTTTTGTGTTTCAATTCCCCAAATTTTTTAAAAATTTCAACTTTAAACTTATCAAAGGTAGAACCAACATTTGATGGCGTACTGTTTCCCAGACCTTATCTCAATGCTTGATGTCTTGAAATCCTCCGTACGGTCCTGCAAAGGAAAGAATTGTAATAACCACATTTCACAAATGAGGAGACTGCTTTGCTTCAAGATACAGAAAATGGCAAAATCGGAAAATTTATTATCTTTCTCAATGCAAAGGTCATGCTGTTTCACCTAGAAGAGGTGCAAGGATCCCTGACATTGGGTTTGAACTTGGTGGAGTTTTTGGGTCTTTCTCTTACAGTTAACATAGCAGCTTCTTCAACCGTCCTCCTGGAGGCAACATTGTGGCCCTAGTCACTGTGTTTCTTTCTTTTAATCTTGAACAAGTCGCTTCTCTTTGTCCAATGGTAAAATGACGAGATTGGATGAGAGGATATCACAGATCTCCACCAACTTTGACAAATCTCCAGTTCAAGGACTAGGATGTGCTATTGTCTCAACCATGCTCCTTAATGCGATACCTAGGAAGAATCTAGGAGCATTTTCCATTGCCAGGTAATAGCTCCTTTTGCTTCTTCCCTCATTGTGGGTGACTCTTTTTTAAATTGTGGTATCATTGCTTTACAATGTTGTGTTAGCTTCTACTGTACAACAACAGCAATCAGCCATGTATGTGTGAGCATTAGTTGCTCAGTCGTGTCCAACTCTGAGACCGCATGGACCATAGCCCAGCCAGGCTTCTGTGCCCATGGAATTCTCCAGGCAAGAATACTGGAGTGGGTGGCCATTTGCTTCTCCCAAATCTGCCATATGCCTGCCTACATCCCCTCCATCTTATACCTCCCTCCAACTCTCCCATCCCACCCCTCTAGGTCATCACAGGGCCCCGAGCTGAGCTCCATGTGCTATATAGCACCTTCCCACTAGCTGTCTATTTTATGCATGGTAGTGTGTAGATCATTCCCAATCTCCCACCTCATTCCACCTCCCACTGTGTCCACACGTCTGTTCTCTCTGCCTGTGTCTCTATTCCTGCCCTGAAAATAGGTGCATCTGTACCATTTTTCTAGATTTTTCATATATGTGCTAATATGATATTTGTTTTTCTCCTTCTGACTCACTTCACTCTATATGACAGACTCTAGGTCCATCCGTGTCACTACAAATGACTCAATATTGTTCCTTTTTTATGGTTGAGTAATACTCTTTCTTAAAAAGGCGAAAGTGGGAAAACTTTCCTATATGAATCCATACTCAGAAAGGCTGGTGTGACAGTGAACATCAGTTTCTTATTCATCAAGATGAATTCAAGCCCTGCCACCTGTCATTTCACCCATCTGAGACAAACATTAGGAAAATAGCTGTCACACTTGGAAGATTCCTCCATTTTCCCAGGAAATTGAAAGTGTTTGCCTCCTTTGTAGACGGGCAGCTGACTGAAAGTGCTTATCAAAAGAGTACTGCTGAGAGTGAGGAGATCTAACCCTTTCGGGAAGCCTGGTTGCATAGGTGAACTTACATCTCTCTTTATCTCTATTGACTCAGTCAGTGTTTCTATGATGCTTGTATCATCCCAGGTGCAAATTATAGAAAAGCATGGCAATTTCATTTACCCTCTTCATGGAAGCAATTCACAAAACAAAATAAAACAAAAACTATTTCTTTTTCAACTGTGCTTGTGAACTTACTTTGGCAGATAAAGCACAGCTTTCCTTTAGTATAAAATCCCTATAATCCTCACGTGGAGTAATCTATTTGCTCTATCATTTATTCAATATCATTAAATATCTGTTTAACCCATCGAAGGGATTCATTACTTCTTCAATAAAACATTTCCTTACCGATAAAATGGCCCTAAATAATATGAGCTTATAGTCATTATGTGCAGTAATTAAGAAAATGCATGAAAGTGCATCCTTCCTCTGTGAAAGGTACTTGTCAGTCACCGTATAGAATTTTTAAAAAAAGATGATTTCATAAGGAAATAGATCAAGTCCTCAAGAAGCTGTAGTCCAATTAAAAAAGATAATGTATGTTCATAAATTACCTAAAGTTAAAGAAGAAAGTGGCAGGTATGGAAGAGAAGTTACAGGGAAAATGCCACAGGAATCTGGAGAACAAAGGATACTTCTAGGATTATGATACAGTATTTTGCAGAAGGCAGTTGAACTCAGCTTTTAAGGATGAATAGGATTTGGACACATACAAATGGAGGAGAGGGACTTCCCTGATGGTCCAGTGGTTAAGACCCCATGCTTCCAATGCAAGGGGCGTAGGTTTGATCCCTGGTAAGGGAACTAAGATCCCAGATGCTGTGTGGTGCTGCCAAACAAACAAACAAACAAAAAATGGAGAAGAGAGGATGAAAATACCTCCTGAAGATGCGGTATGAGATTAGAACTAAGAAATAGGTGTCCCAGGACAATAATCAGTGGTTTAGTTTGGTTGAGGAATGTAGTTTATGGAGGGGGAATGGTAAATAAGGTTGGGAATATAAGTGTGACTAGATGGAAGATAAGTCTGAGTGCTTTTATTCTGCAGACCAGGATTTAGGCTAATAGTGAGCATAGAGAGGTTATGGGATAGAGCAGATGTGTAATGAAAAAGGACAGAAGATTCAATGAGGGGCATGTTGGATTTGAGATGTACCAAGAGCCTTCTTTTGGGTTGCTAGGGAGAACTGGGACACTGGAGGAGGTACCCAGCGTGCTGTAGTTCCCTTGGCTGTACATTCACTGCAAACAGCATCCTATATAATTCAGTAGAACAGAACCACCTCCTAAGACTTTTGGAAACAAAGAGCCTCAGCAATTCCATCACTTACCTCAGTTCCTAGCCACTGAAGGAAGTAGAGGGGACACAGAAGTGAGAGTGAGTTTATTCAGATTTTAAGGTGAAATGTGAAAAAGATCTGCTGAAGGTGTTGAGGACTAACAGCTACTATGAAAAATGGAAAAGTGAAGCTGTTAGTCACTCAATTGTGTCTGATTCTTTGCGACCCCATTAACTGTAGTCCGCCAGGCTCCTCTGTCCATGGACTTCTCCAGACAAGAATTTCTCCAGGGGATCTTCCTGAACCCAGGTCTCTCGCATTGCAGGCAGATTCTTTACCATCTGAACCACCGTGGAAGCCCCAAGATTTTTGGATTCAGTT